GCCCCCTGCTGGGGGGGCGCGGGCAGCGGCGGGCGGGCCCTTCGCGGTGGTCCGGGTGGCGCGGGGAGGCCCCTCCCGCTTCCAGCTGCGAAATCGCATTAAAAGCCGCTAAAAATACCCCGCATACTTTCCTGATGTGGTTTCTTTCCGGGGGAGGAAGGGAGGGAGGCGACGGGGCCCGGGCGCCGCGCTGCGGATGGGGGGCTGCGGCGGGGCTGGCGGCCGTGCGTGGCCCCGCGGGCCCAGGGACGGTGGCGGGCAGGGCCAGGGCGATGCCCCGCGGCCCAGAAGGCAGGTGGCCAGAGAGCCCTGGGGGTCCCTTTCACGGCAGCCCTCGCTGAACGGAAGGGGCTGCTGCGGGCACCCGCTGCCCTCGGAGGGGGCCAGGACCACACGCAGGAGACAGCACCGGCCTCAGCCGGGGTCACGATCACCCGGGCCTGTTCGGGCCCCTCTCCCGGGGCACGTTCTCACTACGGCCACCCGCCACACCCACCTCCTCCTCCATGCCCTGCCTGCGCCCGCTGTGCTGAACACCAGGGAGATGTTCCCAACCCCTGGAGCGCGAGAGCCCTTTTGCCCTCACCTGGACCCTGCCCCAGGCGAGCAGGGACTCCTGGCCCCACTACCCAGCGCTTCTCCTGGGGCGAGCAGAGGGGCAGCCCCTGAGCTGGCGAGGCTCCTGGGGCCAGGTGGCAGCTTTGTGCCTTCCCAACCATGGCAGCCGCTCGAAGCACTGCCAGTGGTATGGCGATGTGTTGGGAAAGTGGTGCAGTGACAGCTGCTGCCGGGCTATGGGCTAGGTGGGAGCTGGGCAGAACTCCCTGAGGAAGCAAGTCGTGGATCTTCATGCTCTGGGATAGCTGGACTCCAGGGGCGTGTGACCCCTGTGCCTGGAGCAATGGTGTCCAGCAACAGCGCAGCTGGAAACACCAGGCACAGCTGCAGGGAGCTTTCCCTCACCTACATGTTCAGGGGCCTGGGGCAGGGAGAGTACTGCCAGCTCAGAGGCCAGTGGCTCACTCACAGTGTGGAAGAGGTTGACAGGAAATCCATTGGGCAGCTTGGGGGTGCTGGATGCCTGTTGAGCCCATTCCCTGCAGCTCTGAGGAGACAAAAGAGTGGGCTGCCTACTGTTTGCTTGTGCTTTGCTTGGGGAAGGGGAATTTGAGCTCCTTGATGGAGCAGACAAAGATGTAACAAGATCTAGTGGCTCTAAGATGATGTCAGGGAAATCACAACTTGGAATAAGGTGCAAATTCTGAGTGCTGATGTTAACAATCTATGGAGTATTTTAACGTAGATTGGGATGGATGTTTCCAGAGCTCCCCAGGCACTTCTGAAATTAATTTTGGATGCTTTTCTGCACTGGGACCTCCTCTACTCTGTGTTAGGTTGGAGGTCACACTAAATGCAGTAGAACTGATTGCTTTGGACTTCAGTAATCCATTTACTATGGTGCCGCATGGTGAATTATTAGTTAAGATGCAGATAAGTACAGAAATTATAAGAAATTAAGACCTCCCCAGAGGCTGGTCCCGGGCCCAGGTTTTATTAATGATCTTGGCATGCCAAAATGGATGTGCTAATGAAATTGGTTGCTTATCCAAAGCTGGGAGGCATTGTCAATACAGGGGAGAACTGAGTGTAAGCAAATTTGAAGGCTGACACGGTAGAAATTGGATGAAATGCAATAGTACAAAATGTAAGGTTATGTTGTTAATGGCTGCGATCAGATTTTTCTATTACAAGTTGACAGTGGGAACTTACTGCTTGGAAATAATAGCGGATGATTATTAGAATAATAGAATAATAGGTGTGGTGCTGCTAGGTGTAGGTATGCTGGACTACTCACTTTCTGCTCCAGGTGTTGCTCTGTGGGATGAGAGAGGTGTGGAATCTCCATGGTCTGACATTCACTGGAACCAACACTGGTGGCTGCAAGTAGCAGTCACTAACAGATTGCACATCTTGGACATGCTGGAATCCAGCTAAGCTGAGGGAGAGCCTGACATGGCTACTGAACGTGTGAGTGTCATAGGAAATATTTCACACCTGGGAACTCAGGCTGGGGTTTGACAGTCTGAGCTGGAGCAGATGTAACCCAAACAGCATCTGTTCTCGTGGAGATCAAGACAGGCAAATGCGTGGGCCTTTGCTGCCTGTCAAAGCCCCTTCTACCTTCCAGAGGGAGGAACCTCTCGTTTGAAGCTTTGCAGTTGTTAGGAGATTTTGTTCTGGAGCCCATAGAAATAATAGAATATTTGCAGTTGTTTCCCTCCTGCAAAACCCCATAGAGATGAGGTAAATCCTTTGAGGTGCATGGAGAAAAAACTGCAGAAAAATCAAACTGAGATGCTTGGAGCTGCCAGTGTGCTGCTAGTGTGGAGCAGGCTACAGCAACAGTTTTTGCTGAGCACTTTGCTTCCCAGTGGAAGCTTACTGTTTTTAGTGAATTGGCCCATGTCAAAATTGGGAATCTGGCTGGCCGCCCAACGTGAGGATTGGGTGAGGAAGAAAGGCGCAGCACTGTGTCACTTGTTGCTACTGGGATTGCCCTGCATCCCATAGATCTTACTGCTGCCAGGGAGCTACTTAACAAAACCTTTGGCCACTCTGAATAAGGTGGTCATTGTGCTACCATGTCAGCTTTTCACCATAGCTGCAGCTTTAACTACACACGGGTGCCCTCTCTCTAAAGGTGGTCTAGGACCAGAAGCATATGGGAGTGCTCAAGTGTGATTGCTTTCCCAGACTCTCATGGCTTTCTCATGGCTAGGAGGACCAGACACAAGCTCTATTCATACATCTGTCCAGTCAAGGGGTAATCAACAGTAAACAGTGCTAGTGGGGGACTCTGTTAGTCCTATTCTGCGTGATCAGGTTTGGGTTGAAACCAGATGGAGAGAGTCCATGCTTAGATGTAAGAACTTGTCCGTGAAAGGAATGCTTGCGTAGTTCTTACTTGCTGTTCAGATGAGAGGGGGTGGCAGCAGTGTGATTTATAGTGAGAGCAAAATTGAACAAGTAAGGCAGACTGAGACCTGAGAATACACCTGGAACTGTACACTGGGAAAGAGAAACCCAGGCCTGGCACCACAGGCCTGACCTGGACAGGAAGCAAGCACAAAAAACGGCTTTGGACAATCACAGCAGCACCAGATGTTTGTCCTGCTACCTGGCTCCTTCTCAGTTGGTTGAGTGGAGCTGCTCTAGGCCCAAGGTCAAATGATGCCTGTGGTTTCACGAGTAGGACAGAGGAGAATTAAATTATTCAGAAAAGGTGATCCCAATGCTTAAAGCAAGCAAGATCTATTTTAGCCACAACACGAAAAAATGGATGAAAACTCCTTTATTCCCATTGCCCTCCCTAAGCAGGCAGAACTGTGTCAGGGTGGGTAACAAACCCCATTTCAATAAACTGAGTCCGGAGGGACTCAAGGCAGGACAGATTTTGGGTTTCATTCTTTCTACACATCTGCTCTTTTCTCCTATTGAGAATCTCTTAAGTCAGAAGTCAAAGTTCTGAGGCAAGGCTCAATTCCCCAAGTGCTTAAATGTTTTCTTTCCTGCACATGGACTGTGCCCTTCCTCTATTTGCCTGAGACTTCTGTCCCTGGGGTGGGCAGCAAGCAGCACACAGAGTGTCTTGAGGGGAGCTGGGAAGTGGATGTGGGATGGTGTCTGGGATGGGGACCTGGAGGAATTGTGAGTTGGAGCTTGGAGAGGGGGGGCAGTTCCAAACAGGTGAACCTGCTGTTCCTGCTGCTTCATGATCTGTCTGTCCAGGATGGCACTAGGTACTGTCTCTACCCTGCCTCCAGTAGGAACACACTGCCAGCTACCTGTTTGGGGCCACAGTGCTGTCAGTGCACTCCTACCCAAGGATTCCCACCCCAGGGATGCCCTCCAGCTTTAGCAGACATTTCTCTGGGTGCTATCATGCTCCTCTTGGGATGCTGTTTTTCTGATCAAGGTCAGCTGTAAGTGTATGCCTGTACTTGGACATCCTGCAGTGGTTACTGTAACCCCAGAGCCACAGTCCCCTCTGTCTCCTGGCATCTGTGTAGCTGCGTTGTTGCAGCAGCTCTTTGTTAGGAGTGGGTGGGAACTGGGAAATGCAGGGCCATAGTCCCATGGCCCCGTGGTGAAGCATGGGCTAGGTGAAAACTGCCCTCTATACTTCATGAATATTTGAATCTGTAATTAAAACAGAAGCACAAAGTATCTGGAAGATCATAATTTCAGAAAGCCCAACGAGCCTGGCTTCAAAAAAGGAAAATCATGTCTCACTTACCGAATTCCTTAAACATGTCAAGGTTTGTAAAGAGAGATAATATCTTTTATTAGGCCAATTGATATAGCTGGAAAAAACACACAAGCTTTCAGGCACAGAAACACTTCTTGTATGTTTTTTTCCAGCCATATCAGTTGGTCTAATAAAAAGTTATTACCTCTGCCCACAAATCTTGTTTCACTTAGTCCTTAGATCATCACAGCACAACTTGAACATGTCAGTAAGGAATGGAAAAAAAGGAGAATTATTTGATATAATTTATTTAGAGTTCTGAAAGTTCCTCAGCCAAACCATGAGCTGCTGCTAAAGCTAAGCAGGTATGGAGTGAAATCTCATGCCTTTAGTAATAGGTATTCTTGGAAGGCTTAAAAGTTTAGGGTTACACAGTCAATTTTCATCATGGCAAAGTATTAACAGTGTAGTTGGTGGTGTGGTACAGTTCTTCATTGTAGCAGCAGAATAAATGAATGACAATTACTTAGGTTAATGAGGATGGTTGAAGATTCTGAGGAATGTGAGATACCAGAAAAAATATAAGCAAATGCACAAAGCACTGGAAAACTGAATGTTTATTTAACATATGGAGCTAAAAACAGATCTATTTACAATTAATCTATACATCTGTCCAGTCAAGAAACAGACTGGGGACGTTTTATGCAGCTCAGTGGAAATCTCTGCACAACTCATGCTTGCGAGGCACGTGTGTAATGATCGTTGTGCTTATATTTGATCCCTGGGACTGCTTCCACTTGCACTCTGGAGACAGGCTGCCCCATCTGGAAAGCAGCGTTGGAGAGCCAGAGAGAACTGGGAAGAGCATCACAAGCGATCAGGAGACTTGGCAGAAGCCTCTGTGAGGAGACAAATCTGCAAGGCTGGGATTATTTGCCTTAGTGGGAACTAAAAAAGTGTCTACGGGCAAAAAGCTGTAGAAGACGGAGTGGCAGGCTGTTCCTGACCTGCCCCACTGCACGTGGGATTAAAACCGGGTAACAGAGTTACCTGCATGACGTATTGCAGCACTGCTGTCACCGGTGGTCAGGCCAAGGTTTAAGGATTGCCAGGGCGCTGGATGTTGCCGTGGCTGTCCGGAGCTCCTGGCGGGGCAGTTCAGTGCCGGCTGTCTGTTGCCGGGCCGCGGTTGCCGGGGCGGCGGGGCGGGCTGTGCGCCGGAAGCACCGGCGGCGGCGGCGGCGGATGGAGGCTGAGGCTGAGCCGGAGCGAGCGGAGGCGCCGCGGCGGGGGGGCGTCGCCGGGGTGAGCGGGCCCGGGGAGGCCCGGCCTCTCCGAGCGCGGCTCGGGGCCTTTAGGCGCGGTCCGGGACGGGCGCGGGGCCGGGAGGGCACCCTGCGGGGAGGCGGCGTGGGCCGCCCCCGGAGTCCGCCCGCCCGGTGTGGTGCCGTGCGCCGGCCGGTGGGTCCGAGCAGCGACTGGCGCTGGGCCGGGAGGCGGCCGCGGGGTGAACACCTGCGACTGTGATGCCTTAGCACCGCATCTGAGGGCACCGCGCCTCGCTGCGGGGCATGGCGCGACGGCACAGCCGTGCCTTGCCTTCTACCCCCTGCTCTGAAACAGCTTTTATCAGTAACCCTGTGCCCTCCGCTCCTTCGTATCTCCCCCTGTGCTCCAGATACTAAAGATGGGCCGTCGAGCCCGCCAGGACCTCTTGGCAGATGAAAATCTCATCAGGAAGAATTCCCCGTCTGCTTGTCTTGGAGAGGTGGGTGTATTGTCAGGAGAACCTGTCATTTATCCTGCTGGTGTCTTCCAGGGGAGGAATCTTCATTTCTTTCCTGCGTGGTGTGCTTTGTCCTTTGAAGTTTGTCCTTAGAGTTGGGACCCATGTGACTGCTCTGTCCCTTTCCTGGTGTTACCCTTTGCATGATGTGTAGTTTTCACACAGGACCATATTTAGGGCTATGGTCTCTTATGTGTGAAGTATGGAGAGTAGTATCATACAGGACTTGGGGCCTGTCCCTCCTGTGCATGCATACCTTCCCAATATTTTGATTCCCAGAATTAAAATATGAGCAGACATATCATTTTGTGACCAGCTTTGCCACCATCTGTGGAAGCAAGACAAAGTACAGGTAAACAGATACCTTACTTTTGTGCTTTGCTTTTGCTAGAGCCAGAGTACAGTATCTGATGTGGTCACTACAAAGTTTGTGTAGTGATGCTCTTTTTCCTGTCCTCCATGCATAGGCTACAAAGGTCATGCTAGGAGCCAGCTTTGCAGCATCTGAGACTTTGTCTTGTGGGTAATAATGTCCAAACTCAGTTTCCACTTCTCTTTGGAGGAAAATGTTTGTTCAGAATCTGTTCTATCAGTACATCTTCAAATGGTAGAAGGGGGTCTGGAACCCCTCTTTCTCAGGAGAATGAGGCAACATCCTCTTGTATCCGGAAATATGAGAACTGTTTCTATTCACTTTCTTGCTTAGTGCTGCAGAATGCTCAAATTCTACCTGGAAGTTTGCTCTTGGATGTTAGCATGGCTTCTCCACAGGCCTCTCCAGCTGGAAGGAGCACTTCTCAAGAAATGACATAGAGATTTTGCTCCTTGATATTTTCAAATGGACAAAAGTGTCATCAGAGTTCCACCTTATTGACAACAGTGATATTTGTTTAAATGAGGTGATGCTTAACTTTTTGCAGTGCCAGCATAGTCTCCAGCATACATATTCTTGGCTTCTTTAAATTTCAAACCCATTTTTTCCTGCCAGCCACCTTGGCTCCAAGTGTGCTTCAGGCTGCTCTGCTCAGAGCCCTAGGGCCTTCTGCCTTGGAATTGGCTACTCCCTGATTGTCTGTGCTGTGACAAAACTTTCCATTTACACTGAGTAGTTGTGTCCCAGCCATCTGTGATGAAATGGTTTGCTGAGGGGGAATAATTCCTTGGAGACCCTGGGATGGTGTTGAAAATACACTTTAATGGCTTAGCTTACAACAATGCCTCATAGAGCAGGCTTTTTTTTCTGGAGAAAGTGTGCTCTTTTCTTTTAGTAGGCATAATGGAGAATCATGTCCCACCTATGCATTCTCCCCTCCTCAGATGTGCTATAGGCATTTAGGATGGATTCTGTGAGGGAATATGGAGAAGATGTAATTTAAGAAATAAAAATAACCGTGGGCCTCATGGGTAAAAACAGTCTTAAAGAAACCAGATGGTCGTTTAAGGGGGTGTCATCACTGGTTGGTCTCCAGATTAGGGTGGCTCACTGTCAGATTGTTCTCTTACTGGCACTGGCCATCCTAGCTCATGGGCTGATTCCCTGGTTTGAAAGAGACTGGGGTGTTATGTAAGGGTACAGCTGATTGACTGTAAGTTACTGCAGTTGTGCTTGGTGTGTCTCATCACAGCCATTATAACAGCTGGGAAAAGATCATAGGGACTCCAGTCCTTGGGCACCCCTGGAGAGGACTAAGAAATAGTTACAGTGTTGGGTTTGGCAGTGAGCTTTTCAGCAGCAGAAGGGTGAGGCCTTCCACACCTTACAGCATTCAAATATGTTATTACTGGATCTGAACCACCAGGAAGAATCGTTTGTGTCAATAGTTTCTCTTCAGACAGGTCTTTGTTGCTAAATGTTTCTGTTAATTGAAAACCTTGGAGCTACTGGAGGAGAGACAAAATCCACTATAAATAATCCTCAGCTTTTCCTTTGCTCAGGAATTGGAGGCTTTTCATACATGACCATATTTGATACCAAAGTGAGCATTTAATAGAACTAATATTGTTTTTTCCTTCACCGTAGATTGGAAATCACCTTTTACTTTTCTGCAAGCTTGGCCTTGGCTTGCTTTTAAGTGGTGGGGTCAGCTGTTACAATGGATGTCTCACTCAGCCATCTGGTCATCTTGAAACCTTTTCAAGGAATCTTCCCAAAAGAAACGCAAATTAAAAAACAGTCCTTTTTTTTTTTTTTCTGGAACTGGCAGTAGTGGAGTAGGCCTCATGTAATTAATTTCAGCATAAGAGGTTTTATTCTTATTACTGATTTTGAAGACAAAGGGGTTTGTCTTTAACCTTTGCCATATTCACAATTTCATATGCGGTTTTGCATTCAGGATGGTGATTCTACCTATAGAGGTTCCTCAGGGTTTTAAAAATGGTTTAATTCACTTTGACTCTTTCTTTTTTAGTTCCATGCCAATACACTCAGTTTCCACCCAGCTCAAATTTCTGGTATGAACATACCATTTGTGCTATTGTTCTGGTCTTCTCATGACACTGAGAAACATCCAGGAAGTCTTTTCCAGGCAGACCAACTTGCTTGAAGGAAGCAAAAAGTACCTGTCTATCCATGTTTCAACATTTGGGCTTATTATAAGGAAATTCACTTCGAGGGGGAACAATTAATGTAGTTAAAAAGATCTTTGTTTTGAAGTCAATAGGCAAATCATCTGACTTGGAGCATAGATCTTATCAGGTTACTGCTGATCTCTCCTTGACCTGGGCTTCCCCTTCCAAAAGAGACTCCAAACTGTGTGTCTTTGCTCACAAATGCATTGTTAAAACTCCCTTCTCTAGGGCATAACTCTAATGTCTTGTGCCTTGTAGCCTAATATACTTGCCTCAAGCTCTATGAAGACAGTCTGATATCTCACTATCTTTTCAGCGCCTGTTATGTGTATGTATCTCCCACAATAATATTCTTAACTATAGCAGCAAATCTGTAATTCCTCTGCCTAGGTCTTTATTTGGTAATTCCCATTCCTGTGTGGAAGTACCTGCATTATCTTCAAATGTAGACCTCTGTCTCCTCAAGGGGCTCACAAAAGGTCACAAAGCTCACAGTCTGCCATCTGACATGCAGAGCATTCCTGCCTTTTCAGAAGTACAAGTACTAACAACACTGCTGCTATGTATTATTTTGCGAGGCAAGAAGGAACATGATTATTTGCTGTAATTGATGCATCCTCCTGCAGCAAAGGCTGTGCAAGTACCTTGCCTTCAGAGCTCCTTGGCAAATTGGCAGGCACTTCTTGCACACCCAGGGGAATATGCTTCAACTGGGAATTCCTAGAGATAAATCTGCTAGCTGCATGCCAGAACTCCAGATTTCAAACATTCATTTTCAGAGGGACAGAGGCCTTACCCATCCTCTGACTTGATGTGTTACATTTACTCATTCTGATGGTATCAAGTTTCTGACAAAATGGGAGAAACTCAAGCTGGTCATGTTATTTGTGTAACGGGAGAGACAGATCATATAATGAGATCTGTTGAAGATCTTTGCTAGCCCATTCTAACAGGCCTTCTGCACACTTCTGTAGAATGAAAGTCAAACCTATTTCCTGGCTCTAACATCACTGCACCCAAAAGCCTGAATGCCTGATGACATCCACCTGAAGAAGATGTTTGGCAGGGTTTGGAGCTCTCAACGAGATTGATTTGGAAAGCTGTGTGGAAAAGCCTTTTTAAAAAATATATCAGCAAACTTTTCCTTTTCTGTGTCTTATCTCAACAAGAGCGAACTATTTGTTGTTCCATAAGAAATCTGTATGCAGAAATATTGTAATGTTATCCAGCTTCCACAGTCTGTTTTCTCTTCATCCTATGGTGACAGGATTCCCTTGGGACCTTGTTTAAGAGTCCCCTGGTTTCTACCTCTTACAACCTCAATATGATTTTGCCAGTGTGTCTCTGGTGGCACTCTGTAGATCCTTTGAGTGGAGACTTGCAATTAATATGCAATATGTCAGCCTCCAGGATGAGGGTTTTCCAGACTATGTTGAGAGTATCTCCACACAGATATGACAAGGTCACTTTATATCAGGGTTTTCCCACAAATCCAGTTCCCTGCTGGTTCTCTTCCCCATGTTTCACCACAGCCTGGGAAGAGGCTCTGTACTTTCAATTCTGAAAGTATGTTTTTCTCTTGTTATCCGACTTGGCATTTGTGACCTTGCCTATGTAGCTGTGGTCCTTGGGTTAAAAAGTGAGCATTTCTGTGCTGTAAAAAAATACCTTAATCAGGATACCTTCATGTAGACAGACAAAAGCTTGGGCCATCTCCACTGTACACTGGAAGGATGTTCCCACAGGTGAATTTTGCAAAGCAGCTGTCTGGACTTCTATCACCCAGTTTACAAACACTCCTGGCAGTGATTCTTTAGGCTGATATCCAGGCATCTTTTAAATAGGATTCCATTATTTAACCCAAATGAATAAACAATACAAAAAATGAATTGCTGAGGGTGAAATTCACGTGGAAGATTGCTCAAAGAAGTAGTTATTTAAATGCTTTTCC